TTATAAGCAACGCCCATCTAACAGAATTTTTAAGTGTGAGCCGCTAAGTTACGTTAAGTTGCCATAATCAGACCATAAGTCTGAGCGTTCGTAGTCATGTGTGTGTGCGTTGACAATACAAAAGTAAGCGGCTGCAATGCAAGCGCGGCAAGAATATCCAAGAATGTGGCATGGCAAGTCTTTTGTTTTGTTTTGCTCTTTTCTGCTATTTCACACTCGCACGCATGTGAGCTGGTCGCGTTAATGTTCAAATTATGTATGCAAGTGTTGTTATTGTTGTTGAGAAATTCCAGCGCGTATTCAAGCAACATGTTGCAAGTTGAAAATACTTGGAAAAAAAACCACACACCTACCTTAAAGTTTTAAGTACCTTTGTGCTGAAAAAAAAAACAACTACGCTGGCTAAATGAATTTATGGAAATCTTGCATTGGTGCCTGGTTTAGCATTCGCTTTATTGTGTGGCGGGCGGCTGGCCACAATTGGTGCTGGGCATTAAAGTAGCTGCCATGCGTGGGATGCACATGGCGGTGTTGGTCGAGTTGCGAAATTAAGCTGAGACCGCCACCACCGCCATCACCGCTGCCACCGTCTCCAACGTCGCCTTTGTAGTCGCAATCAGAGTCGCTGCTTAGTGCTCTTATTTTTAGCCAAATGTACTGGCGTGTGAAGTTGATGGAGTGGCTGATGAGGGCGTGCGGTGGAGTGTTGTGCTGGGTGGGCGCTTTGTCGTTGGTGCGCCAGCGATTTGCATAATCTTTGCTTAATACAATTTTTCATCGAACTGTCAAACAACTAGGCTGCTGGAGCGAAATCTGTGTTTGTTGTTGTTGTTGTTAATAACTATAGTTTGCCGGTTTTAGCGCTGCAGGTGTTGGCGTGGCTCGGGTGCCGGCGAGCAGCAACTTTTAAGTGCAGACAATAGACTGCAAAAAAGCCAAAGCTGTTAGCCTTGATATTTCAAATGGCGTTTAGTGCAGTGATTGCTTAGCAGCGAGCTTGAGAAAATAGTAAAGCGGTAGAGATTATAATAACATTGGAATTTTAGCAAAGGTGATATTGAATGTGTGTGTGTGTGTGTTCACGAACTTTTATGATTATTGCGGCGCAGTTGGTGAGAAACAATCGAAATAACATTGGAACGGAAAAGGAAGGAAAGGCGCTGATGCACACAGCCCGGCGTGCGTGTAAGGCGCGTTTGAGTTCGTTGGCGCTTATGGAAATCCTTTGCCATTCACTGAGCTTACATTTATGTTTCCTTAAACCACAAAACAAAAACAAAAAAACGGCATTAAAAATCCAGCGCCCAGCATCTGTGAATGCGCAAAATGGTTTAACGAGACAGACACGCACGCACCTTCAGATGCGACCATGTGTACTTTCACTTTCACATGCGTGCTAATGTAATATGCAAGCGCATGTGTCTTTATATGCGAAGCGGAAGGCGCGTAATACTCGCAGAGGGGCTAGCGACGGGCTTCACATGTCAGCGGTGCGCGTTTGTTGCATTTCTCACACACACATGCATATACATTTATGATTTCATGACAGCATAGATTACGAAATCCATGGCTTACGCACAAATGCCGACGACAAACGGGACTTAAGCGATAATACATAGCAATAAAAACAGCAACCGCAATGACGGCGGCTAAAAGAAAATGCCATAATAATTCAGTGGCGTGGCGACGACAATCTCGCTGGCACGCTGGCACGCAGCTGTGGCGTGAATGTGTAAATATGTGCGCATATACGTAAGTAATTGCAGCGGCGGCAAGGAAAACAAAAATTTATGGCTGTCACTAGCAATGCGCGCGCCAATTGCTGACACTCAACGATGCCCGCTAACCGCTGGCTGCCAAAACATTTGCATCTAACTTTGCTGGCTGTGTGCAACTTTGGTGCGTCGTTGCCTTGTGCTACCAACCAATTGCCGGTTGTTCATACAAATGGTCAGGAGTGTGTACAAGTGCTTTTTATCTTTGGAAGTTTGTTGTATGTGTGTACGCCATATCGTTGGACCAATTATTGGCTTGTATGTATTTACTTACAATTAGTTTGCTTGTTGTTGTTGTTGGAGCATATGTTAAAGACAATATGCATAAACACATATTTACATAAGTATGCATTGAGTGCTTGAATGCAGCAGCGGGCTCCTGTGTAGCTTGTTGCTGCACTATGGCCGCTGGTAACAGCAAATTCTATGCATGCGCCAGTTAGCCGCCAGTCCACAGTTGCAAATTGCACTTGGTCAACCGCATTCCAGTGCTAGTTATCAGGACTAGTCAATTTCCTAGCTTTTCTTGTGGGATTTTTTTGTATTGTTTGTTTGTTTGTTTATAAGTTTGTGCCGTTTGGCCAATTATGCGGTATATGGCATCTGCTTTTTTTTAACTATTCAGTTGGGAAAAGGCGTTAGTTGGAAATTTTATCTGCGCTATTTGTTTTGATAATAAAAAAATTATTATTGGGAATAAAAAACTGCAATACATAATTATGTTATAATTTTCCATGGCATGCGCGCATCTTTAAATAAAGGAAATACTATAAAAATAAATAAATATGTTTCATTTTAATGTGTTTTTCTTTGCAACTTTTTTGTTTAGAAAACTCGTTAACATTCATTACAGCCCTATCGTACCTTTCCCTCGTAATTTTGTCAAGATATTATTTTATTTATTTTTTGATATTGAACATGAGGCCGCTGTGGTGTAGGGGTTAGCAGTGTCGCGCTACCATTCGCGCAGGGTCTCCGGGTTCAAGTTTTTTTTCTAATAGCAGTCACCCCATCGGCAGGCAATGGCAAACCAGTTTTCTCCATGAAAGCAAAATAAATCGTTGAGTCGCGTAAATCACTCCTCCCCTTTGTGTGCGCGGGCACGACAGAATCAGGAAGCTCGGCCAAACACTAACATATGTGTCAGCGTCAATATTTTATTATTACTACTAGCAAATACCCGGTGTGCTTTACTGTGCCTTAAAAGTATTTTTTTTTGTTGTTACTCCCACCCAAAGCTCTTATGGCTTCATTTATAAAAAATTAAATAGATTTGAAGAGCTTTGTGAAATGTTAGTTAATATATTTTCGAAGGTATTTAATCTTTCGAAATTTTTGGGAATGCAGTTTTATAGCCCATACAATTTTAGTCTGATGAAGTGCAAATTTCAAACAGTTAAAAAATCGCGTTGATTTTTGAGAATTTGTTTTGGAGGCCACTTTTTCGGGGTTTTCTAATACAATACGCCCAATTAGAAAAACTTAGCGTTGATATTTTGAAATTTTGTTGCTGAAGGTCTCCGTGTTTTATTTCATAAAGAAATTCATACCTATATGAAAAAAGTGCAAAAATCCGAAAAAAAAAATTCTATAAAATTCGGAATAAAAACTTGCAATTTTGATGAGAATTTGCTGAATTTTCCTAATTTTGTATAAAGTTTGAAACTGTGTTACGGTTTTGGTTAAAGCTCAAATAAATTTAGCTCGAAAAACATTACGAATATTTGAAGAAAATCAAAACGTGGTCATTTGTGATGATCACTGTATGTAGATTTGGGTGGTCTTTACAAATCAAATGAGCGATCCCTTCAACCGGTAATACCACGGTCACAGATATCACATACAAATTTTGGTCCCGATTGGAGTCCATTAAGGCGTGTCGCAATGGGGTCCAAGGCCAATGCTTCAAGGAGACTGAAAAGAGTAAAAATATTTTTTTTCATTTAATACAAAAATCGATACTACTAAAGTCGAGATATCACATTTTGAGGTCGATTGGAGTCCGGTGTAAGACATCTTCATAGGCTAATCTGAATTTTACCCTGTGCGACACGCCTTAACGACTCCATGGGACCAAAATTTATATGTGATATCTTCGACTGTAGCAGCATCGACGTCGGGGCTTGAGGCTTAGGAAATCTGATGTAAAAATTTGCTTCCTACATTTAAGGACCAGCCCTAATGTGAGTATATATTAAATGAGTTTACTTTTTAAAGGTGGGCCTAAAGCCATTTGCTGTTCGGCAGCGTCATACCTCTTGGCCTCAAAGTTTTAAGTTTATTACTTCCACACCATTCCACTTGGGAATTGAAAAAAAAAATGTACTAATAATGCATTGTCTTAAAAATGCACACACTATTTAGAACATAAATAAAATCGATTTGCCAGCTAAAGTCTTCGGAATTTAATTAAATCACATTTGGGTCGGAAGCCGTCAGACTTCAGTGCTTAACTGGATCGCAGCGCGTAGAGCAGTGTCGCATTGCAAAGGAAATTGAAGTCTCCAAAATTGCAGCTTTGCGGTTTGACGGCTGAGCCTAAGACATAAATATAAAAACTACATAGACGAAATGCATTCGTATAAATGCATAGTATGTATATACATATGGTACATATGTATGTACAGTTGTAAGTGCGCGCTGCTCTAAATAGCCGCGTGAGAGGGTTTCGCTTCATTAAGTCGCCTTGGCACAGTTCCAGAGGCGTCAGCGGCCCAAATATTGCAAGCAACAAACGTTTCAGCTGCTGAGCCGTTCTTCCAGCAGTCTTTGCAG